GTGGTCGTGCCTGACGCTGAGAGCTTGACTCCTCCGTGGTTCTTGGCGGGCGTCGTCGCGTGTCTGCCGCTGGTCTCGCTGGCCTGGTGACGGACCCCGGCGCCCTTGCCCTCTTCTTGAACAAGAGGGACACCAATTGGCCGTCGGTGTCCCATTTTAAAACCCACCGACCTTCGGGAACCTCAGAGCGGAATCTTCTCTGGCGAGTCGGTACATGGGCCGGCACTCTCAGTTGCCAGTGCGCGAGGGGAATGATGATGTCATTCGCCCTTCTTGGCGTGGCTATCGCGGCCTCCGTTCGCGATTCCATCGCGACATCAGGTTGCGTTTCCGTCGCGGCATACGACCGCGATTCCATCGCGGACTCTTGGATTGGCGGGGCTGGTTCTCTGCTCTCTTCCGTGGAACTTCCCGACATCCTGGCTAAGCTTTCTATTACTCCGTCAAACGTTTCTTGAAAGTCTTCGTCACGCACTGCACTGTCCGTCATTGTCTATGAGACTGAGGGCCCGCGTGCGGAAGAGGTGTTTATATGTACGGTCGAAATCGAACATTCCCGAATTTCGTCGGCCTAAGTACAAATTAGACGGTAATATCTGTTTTACCTTGTCTCGTTTACCTTAGGCCAGGGGGGCAAGGTGTTAGGGACAGGTGGCCCTAACAAGGAGTCCGGTCGAGGAACGGATAAATAAAGTTACCCAGGTTTAAGTTGTAACGGGCGGTTCGGCCGAGCCACCGATAGGTGCCGTGGTGGTGCCGACCGCTCGCTCTAATGATGAGAACGCGACTTAAACTAAAGGCAGGGTTCGTAAAATGAACAAGGCAAATTACTAAAACTAGATTTATTGAATACTACGATGGTCCGGATGTGGCGGCAGGTGGCGCGGAAGGTCCGGCGGGTGGCCTTGCCACTGGGCCTCTACAAATAATCAAACTTATTACTACTTATTGCTAAGGTATCACTAGACTTAGTCGTTATGTGTATCGGACGAGCGCGTGACTCTATTATTAACGGACTATCGCGTTGGACGCTATGTGTATCGGCTCGAACGCGTGACTCTACGGCTATCGGTCTCGCGAAGGAGAAGGCGGGGTCACGTGTCGGCTCTGGCGCGAATCTTAAACCTACTTAGACTCTAATTCTTAACTATCGTAACGCGGGATCTGGCCAATGTCAGATCGTATCGTAACGCGGGATCTGGCCGATGCCAGATCGTTCGGATGTCGTATGGTGCCCGTGNGGGCTGGTTCTCTGCTCTCTTCCGTGGAACTTCCCGACATCCTGGCTAAGCTTTCTATTACTCCGTCAAACGTTTCTTGAAAGTCTTCGTCACGCACTGCACTGTCCGTCATTGTCTATGAGACTGAGGGCCCGCGTGCGGAAGAGGTGTTTATATGTACGGTCGAAATGGAACATTCCCGAATTTCGTCGGCCTAAGTACAAATTAGACGGTAATATCTGTTTTACCTTGTCTCGTTTACCTTAGGCCAGGGGGGCAAGGTGTTAGGGACAGGTGGCCCTAACAAGGAGTCCGGTCGAGGAACGGATAAATAAAGTTACCCAGGTTTAAGTTGTAACGGGCGGTTCGGCCGAGCCACCGATAGGTGCCGTGGTGGTGCCGACCGCTCGCTCTAATGATGAGAACGCGACTTAAACTAAAGGCAGGGTTCGTAAAATGAACAAGGCAAATTACTAAAACTAGATTTATTGAATACTACGATGGTCCGGATGTGGCGGCAGGTGGCGCGGAAGGTCCGGCGGGTGGCCTTGCCACTGGGCCTCTACAAATAATCAAACTTATTACTACTTATTGCTAAGGTATCACTAGACTTAGTCGTTATGTGTATCGGACGAGCGCGTGACTCTATTATTAACGGACTATCGCGTTGGACGCTATGTGTATCGGCTCGAACGCGTGACTCTATTATTAACGGACTATCGCGTTGGACGCTATGTGTATCGGCTCGAACGCGTGACTCTA